TTCTGAATTGAGAAGGATAACGTAAATAAAATCGGACTAAAGAGTATGAGGCTTATGAAATCTCTTCTGTCTCCGTAATAAAAGTCAGACAGATCCAGATCCAAAAAAGTTTGCTTACATTTTATATACGTAAAAAGTTTCCTATATTTTGAGTTGGTTCACTTTGTCATCAAGGCATCAATGGTGAGTTATCGCTTGGTTCTAGAAAGATTGCTTAGATTAAAAATTTATTATGAATGCCGGAACTCCCGTCTAAACCCAAATTATTATCAGCGACAACTAAGAAACCCAATTCATGACTTTCCCTTTTAATTATGTAGCTTAAATTAAAATATCTTCTATGCTGTTGATTTCGCACCTATTCAATTGTGTTTGCACGAAACGATTCTTTATATTCGTGGATCCCAATAAAATAAAATTAATAAAACTATCTTTCCATCGGTCGTGTATTAAGAGATAAAACAACGCAACGGAGACATGAATATTAACAACCAAAAGTAAACCATTTTGAGTTGAAAATAACATAGGACGGATCTCCTTCGGGTTTTCTATAAACGCATTATTGCGCGTTTTTGTAGGGATTGAAATTTCATCACCTATCCTTAAAGAATTCTCCAACGGAAAAGTACTCCCTGATCATTACTAATCGTGGTGCTGATGAGCAAATCCAGCACAAGCTTGGTTTGATATAACTGTGAACAATCTGTATGCCTATAATATAAATAAGCAAAAGGCATAATTCAATATATTAAAACTCAACAAAAAACTGAATCCTGCTTCATCTTAAGTTTTCGCCCATTTGTTAAGTATAGCACAAGGAAAAACTTTACTATAGAGCTATCAAGATCAAGCATTACAGTCTACTCTTCCAGGGTGATTCGTCTCCAAACACTAACTTTAAGACAGTGCCACTGAAGTTATGCACCATCGGATTTTAATTCAGTTGATGTGGGTGCGTATAATTCAAAGAAAGAAGTAGTCTACCAGAATGTGAATTTAAACTCGATTTTACCAGTTAACAACAAATATATTTCAGAAATCAGTTCATAGTTTAGAAACGACGGTGCTTGAAAACACGACGACGCACAGTGCGGTATCTATAACCATCTTCAGCGGGTTGCTCATAGACTTCAGAGGCAGCTGGTTCTGGTGCATAAACTGGAGCTGAAACAGGGACAGAGTAGACTGGTTCTGGAGCGGTTGCTGCCGGTGGGATGTATGATGAGACTGGAACAGATGGGGCGGATTGATAGACTGGAGCTGGCTGGTAAACTGGGGCTGGGGCAGCATAGACTGGTTCTGGGGCAGCAGCAGCTGGTTGGTAAACTGGAGCTGGGGCACTGTAGACCGGAGCTGGAGCGCTAGCTGCAGGTGGAATGTAGGAGTTCACTGGAACGCTAGCAGCGGGTTGGTTGTAGCCATAGCCCAGGTGAGAGACATCAGCGCTGGCGAAGGCCAAAGTGGCAATAAAGGCGGCGACGGCGAAGAGTTTCTGTTGAAGGAAACGGAGACTTTTATTAATAAGCGAGGTTAGGTAGAGGTATTTCAAATAAATCGTAGAAGCTTTTTTCACTATGCACTTTAAATATTCGTTATCCTTTTTGATGGTTTATCCAATTTAATTTAATTATCACTTTTTATATTCTTCAATATTTACCATTTTCACTGAGTTTGTTTGCGTTGAGTTGTTTGGCTGCAGACAGTTCAACTTGTGCTTGCTTCATCGTATTTCTCGCGCGTTTTTATATGATTTCGCAATGCAGCTGAAGCTACTAAATTTAAGTTATCTAATTCCGAATTTGCTTGCTAAAAAATTATAAAACCTGTAGTTCTAAGCAAAAAAGGAGCTCGGATCACTAGAAGCGTGCATTATTTGTTTAAGTGTTGCTTAGCAGATGAGCGGTAGTGCTAGTTCAATGCACTTAAAGTAAAAGTTGTTTTCAAAAGCGGAAACTAGTTTTAAGAGGAAATGTAGAGAACACGATATTTATAAAATCCCAAATAAACCTAATGAAACCAAAAATTAGATAACCGGAACTACTTCAATACTTGCTCTACTTGTTTGAGCGCACAATTTTTTTTTTTCAAAAATTAAATTAAACTTTTTAAACACGCTTACATGAAGTTTTTGTCAACTGACTAATTGTTTTGAAATATCACTTTCATATTCGCTTTGGAATACTAACAGAAACAGACTTTCTAATATGCGCTAATACCAAATTTTGTTGTTCTTATTAGAACAGACATTAATTGATTTGTTTCTTTCTTAGTCCTCTTTTGAAAAAAAAAACGACGAAAATTGACTGCGCTTATTGCTAAGCATATTTTTATTAGCAAAGTAAAGACCTTAAGATTTCACTATTTGATAGAAACAACTGTTAGTTAGATTTTCTGATTTCCAGATTTTTCTAATGACTTCCAAGCCGAAAGTTTATACTCTTCCGAAGTTGTGATTGACTTCATTGCAAAGTTGCGTCAATAATCTTTATCGAATCTAGAAAAATAAATACAGTTATACGGGTGTAACGGCTAATGAAAAGTTATACTAGTTCAACACATTGAGAAGAAAATCTAGTCCTACTATTCCAGACAAGCGCCGAACAGGAAAAAGCATTAAATCTTCACTTTTGTGACTATGAGAAAAATATACTCCAAAATTCTTCACGCCCCAATAGTAAAAGTTCCAATGAGGAGGTCTAAGAAAAGCGATTAATCCAGCGATTTGCTATCGCGCAATTCGTATCAACCCAATTCTATTGTTTGGTTTACAAAGCAGATATTTCAAAACCACTTGGCATTAATTTCTACTCTTTGCTATAATTTGTAGCATCATCATTTATACTATATTTCTACCATTGACCCAATTTTTTCCGTATGGGTTTGCGTATAAATCTTAATCGTTCAAAACTTTGGATTCTTGAATGAAGATTAGTCTTATTTCTTGGGTCTAACAAAGTGTATCCGCAATCATTCTTTTTAATACGCACCGTGGTTTTTTAAAGTTTTAAAGACACCATATGTATGTTATATACAAGATGTCATAAGAGTTCCACGAAGTTAGTTAGCTGCGGCATTTCGCAATTTGTCTGACCACGCAGTCTGAAGTACAAAAATCTAGAATACTTCGTTTGCCCTCTTGGGAGTTAAGTAAAGAGGTACATAGGTATAGTAGAAAGTCAAAAGAAGTACTCGTCTTATGCTAGGAATCCCAATATAGAAGGCGAAGGTAGGAAACTATGATAAATCTTTTAACACAAATCACATATCAGATCTTATTTGATTATCAACAATCTACCGATGTCATGTGTGAGCTATATATCCAAAAATATATTTTTCGTGAACTAACAAATGTACAAATCATTACAATATATAAAATCAAACAAATTGTATGCGTATTTCCTTTCACACCTTAGTTTAAAGCGACAGGCAGCTGGTTGTGGTGCAAGCGGGATATAAGACGATGCGAGACGGTGCTGAAGCTGGAGCATAATCTGGCTTAGGAGCAGATGCGGCTGGAGCAGGAGGAATATACGAAGAAGTCGGAGCCGATGGCGCAGGCTGATAGACTGGCTCTAGAGCAGCTGATGGCGGGTGGTATGTAAGATGAGACTGGTGTAGATGGCGCAGGTTGGTAGACTACAGGTTGGAGATGGGTATAAAATATTTCAGGAGCATTAGCGGCGGATGGAAGATATGAGTTGAATAGTGGACTAACTGCAGGTCCTTGGCTAGCCCAGGTGGGTGATATATAAATATATTTATTTCTTTATCCTTAGTCAATATATTCATCTTGTATTTCCACCGGAATGTAAAGAAATTCTTACCATTTTAATTAAGTTTCTAGTTTTACTCTTGAATTGTGTGGGATTTGTATCTGCTTACTAGTAGCCGTTCATGAGTATTTAGATTATTCGTTTTTCAAGTGCCATTACGATGTGCTAAATATTCTACGTCTAAAATACAACAAGCACACACATATACAGAAATATTTATACCTACTAAGAGTGTTTTATTTAAATTACTAATAGTTATTAGTTCTGAAAATTCGAAGCACTTAGATGGTTCTCAAAAATTATTATATACGTATAAAGGTAGGCTTATGCTTACATATGTATTTACGGATATATAATTGAATAAGTTTCTCTATTTGAAAATTTTAGGTTTGGCTTCCTTAATTTCTTATACCGTTGTTTGTATATCGATATCATTTCTTCTTGCTTTTCAGAACGACCATTAGTGTCAGAAGATTTTGCTTACTATTTATATAATTAATATATATATAACAAGATTAACACTAATTTAGAACCATACTTTACTAAGACTTAACCAAAACCAGACTCAGACTAGACTAAAATTGAACTAGACTTGACCGAGACTATATTATCACAAGACTAAGACTTAAAATTAGACTAAGACAAACATAAGACTAATATAAAATTAGACTAAGTCTAAACCACGACTATACTCAAACTAAACTAATACTAGACTAAAAAACGCAAAACATACACTATCCAAACTACGAGTACACTAAGCTGACCTATGATTTCATTAAGACTAAACAAATGCCAGACTTAAGTGGAATCGGGACTAAGGTGTGGCTAAAACTAGATTTAAACCAGACTAAGACTACTACTAAAATTAGAATAAAGCTGGATTAAAATGAACTAACTAACTAGCAAGCAAGACATGACTAAAACTAGATTAAATCAGACTAAAACTGGCCTAATATAAGGCTAACAAAAGACTAAATCTAATCTAAAGATATCCCATTATATGAAAACTAGTTTAAAAGTATACAAAATTCATAACGATACTAAACAAAGCTTTACTTAGATTAGACTAAATTAAGGATAACAGGACGATATAATTCCTTAACGAAGTAATAAGTAAGGTTCTTAGGTAAACCTATCTTTCATCAAGAGATCGACTGACTCGTCTCATCCAACCGCGTTCTCTTCGTCTCAGTAAATTATTTCCTACAGAGCTATGTACTTTAACGCCTTGAAATGTCAACGTTAATCTTATTTAGAGAATTGAAAGTTGTGCAAATATTGAAAGTTCGCAGTGTCTTTTATTTCGGTTTTTTTCTTGTACGCCGCTGAAAGCAAAATTATTTTATTAATGATTTTTAAATATTTGGAGTACACTTTTTAGTGGTTCAAACAACCCGCGGTGTGAAAGCATATAAAAGCCGGCGAGCGGCCATGATTAAACAGATGCACTTAAAGCAGAGTTCTGTAGAGCAACTAAGAATATCTACTCAAAGAAAATGGTAAAATTATATTAATATTATTCTAAAATCTGAACAGGACTCTCACATAAATTATTTTAAAGAAACTCATCACCATTGCCACCTTTGTCGCCGTGCTGGCGTTCGCTTGCGCTGAGGTCTCAGAGTTGGGATACGGCTACAACCAACCCGCTGCCAGCGCTCCTGTCAACTCCTATATTCCACCAGCCGCCAATGCTCCCGAGCCAGCTTTCGCCCCAGCACCAGTTTACCAACCGGCTCCCGCTGCATCTGCGCCCTCTTCTTCGTACCTCGCACCAAAGCCGGCTGCTTCCGAAGTCTATGAACAGCCTGCTCAGGATGGTTATAGATACCGGACAGTCCGTCGTCGTGTCTATAAACAACGCCGTTACTAATATGGGAACTTAACTGATATGGTGCCAGTTTGAATTCTTTTTTGACATAATTAAAATAAATGAAGTCGGCAAATTGAAAAAAAAAATATTTTATATTTTAAGGCAGCTCCTAGCTTAAATAAAACACTATTTTCGGGAAAAAAATATATACTAGTAACAAACCCACATAGGCAGAACCATCTAAAATATTTTCTAATTCGGTTGGCCCCGGGAAGCAGTTCTAAAGTGAAGTTTTTTCCGAAAAGGCAATGCAACTTGTAGCCGTCAGAGATTCACGCAATAAATATTATATAAGAAGCTCCAACAAATACGTTACTACTCAGGAGCTAAGAAGATAATTGTGTCTAACAGGAAATATTAGTTCAGCACGCTTTCCAGTTTATTGGCTATTATCCTTCCAAGGCATCTTCGCTACCTTTTCTCTAAGCACTGCATCGCAAAGTTCTAATAATTCTTTCAGTTAATTAAATACTTGATCTTAATTCATTGATTATCGTTTCCTCGGAAAATATTTTGTATTTGTCAATATTCTTGCTTCTGCTGCTCCATTTCCGGCACAGCTAAATCGCAAATTTTCACAATAGCACTGAATTTTACGTTGTCCGGCTTTCAACATAAACGTCTGAGTCGCAGTCTTTTCGGTTTCATATTTTATGTGAGATTACGTTTGATAAACTTATTTTAAGTGTTTACAGCGATGGATGTTCGAAGCAATATTACTTACAGCCGTGACCAGCGCGTTCCACCGTTCACCATCCGTCTGAAAATGTATACATGTAAGCATATAATTGACCCTGTTCGAGCTTGTCTTATTATTTGTGCTAAAACTTTTACAAACGATATTGGTTTACCAATGAGATTATGACCGGCTCCACAACCGACGGATCTACGCACCCGGAACAGCTCTGAATTTTTCCCCGCCAAGTGATATCAACTCGAGAGCATTCCTCAAATTATATCGTGATGGCTTTCTGTCTTTTTACAACAGGACAACGACAGTTTATTAAAAAAGTAATGATTGGAACATGGCTATATCCACCTGAGTAATGCTCTGAATTTGCAAACCTAAAGCAAAATCTACTGTTACTAGAAAGCCTAATTTTCATTTACCAGTCCTAAGGCGAAGATAAAAGTTTCACTTTAGTGGGAAAAAAATATTTATAAGTATTTTCAATGAAGAAACCATAACAATGTAATTCCAATAGAAAGAGGTACTGAATACCAGGAATTTCTGATATACCCGAAACCGTAACCCGAAAGTTTAAACTCCAAAGAAGGGGAGGTCCTTCAGTATTGTTGGCACGTCTTTTGAGGAAGACTAAAAATAGTTAGAATCGGTTAGGGTATCAAAGAGTTTATTTACTTATATTAACAGAAAACAAAGGTAACAATGTGGTTTAAAAGAGTTAAGGAAAGGAATTCAATTTAAAATCTTTCCCACCATCCTTAAAAGCTATACTTCGTCCACTCTAGATTAGAAGCGACGCTGTTTGTAGACACGACGACGAACGGTACGATATCTGTAACCATCCTCAGCAGGTTGTTCGTAAACCTCAGATGCAGCAGATTGTGGTGCGGGTGGGATGTACGAGGAAGCTGGTGCAGATGGAGCAGGTGCTGGTTGGTAAACTGGTGCTGGCGCAGCTGATGCGGATTGGTAGACTGGAGCAGGAGCAGGCTGGTAGACTGGTTCTGGTGCGGCTGCAGCTGGTGCAGGTGGGATGTAAGAAGAAACGGGAGCGGATGGCGCAGACGCTGGTTGATAGACTGGCTCTGGAGCAGCAGGTGCGGGTTGGTAAACCGGAGCTGACACCGCTGGAGCTGGTGCAGGTGCATAAACGGGTTCGGGAACATTAGCAACCGGTGGAATGTATGAGTTGGATGGCACGCTAGCAGCAGGTTGTTGATAGTTGTAGCCCAAGTGGGAAACATCAGCGCATGCGCAAGCCAAAACGGCAGCGAGAGTGGCGGCGGTTAAGAATTTCTGCAAAGAAACAGTTATTTCCGTTTTATTTTATTTGTATATCCTTAACAAAAAGCAAATATTCACCATTTTTGCACAGCTAATTGGAATTAGTTGTTCTATGGATGATAACTGTTCGACTTGTGATTGCTTGGTCGTTAGCGTCTTGTCGTTTTTATATGATTCACTTTTCGCAAATCGCTTTATTAATTATTGTAGCCAAGCACTTTTGACATAACAACAACACACAATGAAGTACTTCAATGCAGAAACTCTCAAATGCGTGTAAAGTAAAACAAAACATTAAAAACGTAATAAAAACAAACAACAAAAACACTTGAAACACACGATTTGTTTGAGACTGCGAAATTTCTAATGAAGATAAACGAAGACAGCTCAAGGCACTTAAGGCCGAACAGTGTTTAATGTGAGTTTATATCTTAAGCAAGCCAAATGGAATTGAATTTGCATATACACGTGTACATATGTATTATATATATGAGTGTATGTGCAATTGCAAACATGTGAAATTTAAGTACCTCTAAGTGCTTAGTTATCTCACCTCTGTGTTTCAATTTTAATATCTATGTTTTATGCTCAAGTTTTATTATAATTATAGAGTAAGACTTCCTGTACTTAGACTAGCATCAAACAGAAGCGTTCACTAGCTAGCAGAATGGTGAATAGAACAAGCACTTACGGAAGTCAGGAGTGGAAATCTTCGTGATTTAGAAAATGTAAAAGCTTTTTAAATTAAGAAAAACAAAGCTTAGTTAAAAATATAATGTATATGAAGCAAAAGTCAACCAAATAATCGTAATGACATCTTAGTGATGTGAGGTCTCGAATCATATTCAACACGAAACCACATTATTTTTAAGAAATCTACTTAATTCTATTAAAAGGCTCTTGATCTCTAGAAGGATAAAAGCAGAATGGAACGATCCCGAGGGAATCTGTAGTTTACACACCATTAGCACAAAATCTCTCGATGGAGGCTCCCTTCGATAAATGGGACACAACTCTCTCTCAAGAGCTTCAACCTACCTCAGCCTTGGACACAAACTGCCGTGGAAAGACGTGGGCGAAAGAGTTAGAAAGGCCAACAATACCTTATATGCATGTAAATAGATGCTCGACATAAACTGGCGCCTTTCTCCCTCTCTCATGCACTTATGCTACACAGCGATTTTAAGATGAATTCTGTATGGTGCAGTAGTATGGGGAACAGGTTTAGGGAAATCTATCCGTGAGAAGACAATGGAAAGGGTTCAGCGGCTCGCTGCGCTGCGCATAACGTGAGCTTTAAAAACCACTCCAAACTCCGGCTAGGCCTGCTACCTACACAATTTACTTATAAAAACTTCGGCCATAACTCGGTGGATAATGACGGTTTGGCACTCGATAGAAAGGACAGCGGGAGTGACTGAGCGGTGAGTTGCGAATTTGAGCGGCATGTGGCTTTTTAATGAGCGCTCACCGCTTAGCCGCTTATTTCGTGGCCCAGGCCTAACAGCACTCCATCACATCATCGCTAAGGTTCAAAACTGGTATATGTGTGGTTCACGAGCCTACTACACTAACCTGAAATAATTTCATTAAACTATAAGACATTTGGACCAATATAAACGGTTTAAAATCGGATGGAAAGTCAAAATGGTCTGAACTGATTGGAATAATATTTGGTATTACTCAAGTATACTCGAAAACAAGTATTCACCCAATTTTTTAAAGATAATTCACACCCGGACCGATATATTCGGCATAAAGTCCGTTTATATAACGAAAGTCTCGTGTATTTCGTGGACCGATTTCACAAATTTTTCGGCTGTAAACTAAACTACTATACATTAACTTAACTTCACTAAGAAATTTTACATATTAGCCGATATATACGATATAAAGCCTACCGGAAGTTTGAAAATCCCTATATTAGGTATATGAGCGCTAGGATAAATATTGACCCGATTGTATTCATTTTTGGAACAAGGGTACATTATTATTTTAAGAAAGAGATTTTTTGAAATTTTAATAATATATCGTACAAACTAACCAAAATTTTTGGTAAAAAGTCAGACATTCGCACTAAGGTTCACATTCTATTATTCGATATCTTTTGCCAATATTATGAGCTATTTTTGCCAATTTTTTGACTTGAGATGGCATACCTTGGATAAAAAAATTTGTGTAAAGTCTTATCCGGATACATCCATTGGTGTTTGTGGTCCGATGTCACCCAATTTCTTGCAGTAATGTAGAAATTTCAGGGTAATGTTATATACCAAAAATGGTTGAAATCCCACCTTATTTATTTTCATAATCTATTTAATCTCAAAAGCTTTTGACATCTTCCCTTTCAATGATTTTAGAAATTAAGAGCTTTCGCACTTCTAAAGTGTACAATATCATTATTGTAGAATAATAAAGTTAAAGTCTAAAAGAGTTCATCTCAATTACTCCACGATAGGTACATAGGCATGAAAAATCGTACTACAAACATGTAAGATTTGCTATGAAAGTATGATATTTAGCCAAGTATGGAATAATACGAGAGAGGCCTCAGGACATTTTCAAGGCAAACAGCCGTAACGGGATTATGTTAGTTACTTGGGAATGTAATTGTACATAACTATATAAAATTATTTAGAAATCTCTGATTGCAATTGCATTTGAAAAACTGGTCTCTCCTATATATGAGTCAAGTACTCATAATTTCGATTTTTTATAATTTTCACTAACTATCGAAAGAAATATAATTAGATTTTTTTTTAATAAAATTTATTGTCGCAAAAAATAGTTAACAACACAATTCGAACGAATTAAAAAAACGAATTCGCCTCGAAAGCCTCTTAGTTGTTCATTACATGCATGTTAAAGCTTGAAAGATTTGTAAGTTTAGAAACGACGTTGCTTGTAGACGCGACGACGGACAGTGCGGTATCTATAACCATCTTGAGCGGGTGACTCATAGACCTCAGAGGCAGCTGGTTGAGGTGCAGGTGGGATGTATGATGAGACAGGGGCAGATGGAGCGGGTTGGTAGACTGGAGCTGGTGCTGGAGCTGGCTGGTAAACTGGTGCTGGAGCTGGGGCACTGTAGACTGGTGCTGGGGCAGCGGCAGCTGGCTGATAAACTGGAGCTGGGGCACTGTAGACTGGTGCTGGAGCAGCGGCGGCTTGCTGATAAACTGGGGCTGGGGCAGAGTAGACTGGTTCAGGGGCAGCAGCAGCTGGTGCAGGTGGAATGTATGATGAGACTGGCGCAGATGGAGCGGGTTGGTAGACTGGAGCTGGTGCTGGAGCTGAATGGTAAACTGGGGCTGGAGCTGGAGCACTGTAGACTGGTGCTGGGGCAGCGGCAGCTGGCTGATAAACTGGAGCTGGGGCACTGTAGACTGGTGCTGGAGCAGCGGCGGCTTGCTGGTAAACTGGAGCTGGGGCACTGTACACTGGAGCTGGAGCACTGTAGACTGGAGCTGGAGCGCTAGCTGCAGGTGGAATGTAGGTGTTCACTGGAGCGCTAGCAGCGGGTTCACTGTAGGCATAACCCAGCTCAGAAACATCAGCAAAGGCGCAAGCCAAGATGGCGGCGAAGGTAGCGATGGCGAAGAATTTCTGTAAAGCGGTATAAATGGCATTTAGTAAAACAAGTGGGAACAAAAGTTTCGTCATTCTTAAGCATTTTTTATTCCTGTTTACAAAATTTAATTTTTAATCATGTTATATTTATAAATACACGAGTATTACTTTTTAATAAAATTTAAAGATAAAATTACTTTTTTAAATTATTTTTTAAATTACTTTTTTAAATATTTTCATTAAAATAAATGTAAGCACCGCTATAATTTTTTTTCTAATATTCTTTCATGGTTAATTACGTATAATTTATAAACATAATTTATATATATATATTTTTATTATTGTTTTTTTATTTGAAAATTTTTAATTTTTTTATGTTTTGGTTGAAAAAAATTTTACATTTTACTATTATTATGTTATTTTAATTATTATTTTATTGTCCACTTCAATGAGTTTTTTTCCAATTATTAAATTTTTTTTATGATTTTTTTTATTATTTTTTTATGTTTAAAAACAAAAATAAGACCAGTATTATTATTACGGTATTTATTTGCTTTTTTAAAATCCTTTACAAGTTTTTTTTTCACACACAAATATTTACCATTTTTCTAAAGTGTTTCAAGCGAGTTGTTCTATTGAAAACTGTTCGACTTGTGTCTGTCTCAACGTTGATGTCTCACAGTTTTTATATGATTTTTAGTCAAAGCGCGCGAAATCATTATGGTAATTTCTGCAAATCTAAGCAAAAAAGACAATAAAAACACAATATTTGCTAAAAAAAAAAATTGTATGGCGCAAAGCCGAACTTTAAACACCGCACCCCCTGTTCGCCGCTCGTTTCAGCTGCTTTGATTTCCTCTTCGCAATAGCCGTTTTTGCAGATTCACGCCATCTATTTTAAGCAACAGCAATAATTAGCTATGCGTGTATCGAAGAATCTAAGCGCTGAAACCGGTTCAACGGTACACACGCCATACAACATGGTTCTATCTTATGCGGTTGTCTTGAAGAACGCGTAAATATTTTGATGTATATGCAAATGCCGCTCGGTGTTTGTTGTTGCCTGCTGCGCGCCCACTCAAACCCGAAATGTTTGGACAAGAGACAACCGTGTGACACTTACGCATACGCAGACATCCAAAAGTGGACAAAGGCCTCAATAATACCAATTAAGAAACGTCTTGGTTGTTGCCATAAAACGCCCCTCATCTCCAACGTAGCGAGAGTGTTGAGTTTCATTCTCATATTAGCCAATTAACAGACAATTTAAATTGTACACTTTATTGCGGAAAAAATCTAAATTTCAATTAATTATGTAGAATATCAAATGTGGAGATCAACAGGAGTACTTAACTAGCAGAACCGGGTTTTGAGAAATGCATGGTAAGCTGCACCGTTAGTTTGGGAATAAAAACAATTATGCGCAGTTATTTAATGCATTAGCTTCCGGAGTTGGCTGTTTTTCGCGATTTAACTTTTCACAATTCAAATTTCATTCAAAAGGCTCAGGCACTTTGAATCCAAGCAAAGAGGTACAAGTTGTTGGATTCGTTGTTGCGAGTAAGTAAGATTTAACCAACCGGGCGCCTAAAGAAAACGAGCCTTGCACGGATCTACTTCATATACTTGTATGGTGCGCTATCTTTTATATCGATATTGAGCTCGTTAGAGGTCCGAGGATTGCTAGCGTTCAATTTTCCTTTTAATTAACCCCAAAAAAATAGTTAGGAGTAGTCTAGAGACCTAGTTGGGTACTTTTTTGAGACATGAAACCACAGTCAGTAATTTTTGAACATGATATAACTTGATTATTATTCCTATATTCTGAACATGCAAGCTACTGCTAATTTTTCACTAAAATATGTCGAACTTTGTGCCTGAAAGAGTATTTTTGCAGGGAGTTCTTCTTCCTTACTTTAAGGTCAAGAAAACCGCGGCTAAAATTTAACGTATTTTTGTGGTACTTAAAACTCTACCCTAATAAATCCTAAAAACTTTTAACTTAGACTTTTAAAAATCGACAAAGCGCTTTTAGCCCATAACAAATTTGTTTAAACGGCTAATGTCAGTTTCGGCTTTGTCTTCTGGTTCGCCGATGGTAAAACTGCCAAGGCTGGGCAACTTTAAAATTTGCGCCCGACAAGATTTTTAGCTTTACCGCATGAATGCCTATTATTTAATTTAGGTATTAATTGACGAGCAATCGAAAAAGTCCAAGCTCTTTTAGAGTTTATACTCATCGTGTCGGTCGTTTTCAGTTTGCAGGGAATGGCTTTGTTAGATTACAAGAATTTGGAATGGCACGCTTTTGTTGCTATTTACTGCACACCAAGCCAAAAGAGTTTGGATATCATACTTTCAAAATGTATCATCCAATATATGGGGGCTTACTTCAAGGTATTTCACCGCATTGGGTAGTGATAACATATTAATCCTCAGAGCAAAAGCTGTTTATTTCTAAGGTCAACTTTTAGAAAATTACAGCATGGTCTGTGTCTTACTTTACACTGAATATGCATAATATTTCAAAGAAATTGGGCAGCTTTTCCCGAAAATAATTTCCCCAGGTGCTTAAAGTAGTTGAAATCAGTTCAGTATGTCACCTAGACCCCACATGCCCAAAATAGTGATTTTCGAATTTACTAATTACTTTATATATGGGACAGTATGTAAGATCTTTCAACAATATTATAGGGGGGTATAATCTTGTATATGCTGTTTATTGTTGAGGAAAATAGTTAAATTGTATTCAATTGCTAGGCCGTCCACTATATACTATATAACATATAACATATAATGATTTTCGCCATTCTAGCAGACTTTATGTCGAGTATATTGGTCAATGTGTGACTTGTCTTAATTAAATTGCGTGGAAAAATTTTCTAAAGCATATTTTATTTCAACACCGAAAGTAAATAAAATCAATCCATCCATTTCCCTACCAATATGTTTTAAAATATATGTGATTTTTTAATAAAAATATGTGTGTATCTAATAATAATTTAGTTCGGCACTCAAAATCCATACCAAAATACTCAATATCCACACTGTCTGCCACAGCGATGAGCTCATAAATAATCAATTACATAATGCGAGCAACAACAAGCGATAAAGAAGCATAAAGAATAATAGTAAAAAAAGCAACAACAAATAAAAAAATTTAATTTATTTCAGACACATTTGCATAAAAAAGCTGTGTATCCTCACATTATCCAATCTTATTTGCTATTGTGAGAATGCACGAGATACTCGACTATTAGTTTGTTGTTTCTGTTGTTATACCTTTGATTAAAAAATGGTAAAGTATTTAAGCAATACTCTCTCCTATAGAGATCATTGGAGCTTCCAGCAAGATGCTGCCCCAGCACACAAGTCAAAATCCACAGCAGTGGCTTAAAAGCAATATTATTGGTTTCATAGCAGCAGCGTTTGAGGGCTTGTGTGAAAGCAAAAGACGAACATTTCGAGTAAAATTTTTTGAAGCGCTCATTGAAAATATGCATTGAAAAATAAAATTTACCATATTAAAAACGACCTGAAACTGTAACAGAACTTATGGCAGGACTCCGTGCGTACAGTTGCTATAAGAAATGCAACTATGAAGGGTATTATTGCATCTGTGCAGTTATTTCTTGTTATTGTTCTTTATATTTTTTGCCCAAAGCATTGACCACTTAGCCTTCAAAACGTCCAAAACTCAAGCGAATTAAAATCAGATAATTATATTTTGAATTTTTTTTTATATTTATGGCATATGAAGATTCAATGCGGTGAAGAATATTAACGAAAAAGGTTGAAGATGTCTCAACAAAAAAATTTAAATATTTTAAATGACCATTCATGCTTATGTGAATATGTAAACATACATGTATGCATACATATATATAATGTATGTAAAATATGTATGTAGATATGTATATTTTGTATGCTTTGTTTGCCCTTCCTCTTAGATTCAACTAAAATCATTGAACAATCGAATTTTAAGTAAACACAAAAGCAATTGATTAAATGGCTACAACAAAAACAGCAGCAAATATACAAATGCAAATAAAGTTGAACTCTTTTAACGGTTATGTGAGTAAGTCAACGAATAACGGGCTGTCATTGTGCCACTAAGCGGCCATGTGGCGCGGACACATGGTCGTTCGCAGCACACATACGCATATAGACATGTATGTATATATACACACATATACTCGTATATATGTTATATGTATTAATATAAGTGTAAATATGTGTGTATGCGGTCACACAATGAGCGCAGAATGTCACACAAATTCCTGACAGACTCTTAAATGTGTTTGTATAAAAAATTGAGAGAGAAGAACTTTATAATTGAAATGAAGCAAAGTGCAATAACAAAAACAGCATTGATACGAAAAATCAACAACTAAAAGTTTTAGGTAGCAAAGTCAGCTGGAAATATAAAAATAAACAGCTGATAATATATGTACTCTTCTACTTTTATATCGTTATGCAAGCATTTAGCAAGCTAACTTTGACATTTATCCAATGATCGAACTGGCTCGCCTCACTACGAATGCAATTCTACTTATGTTATAGTCACGTGATTACTTAGTACGAGTATATATTGCTTAATATTCGAAATATCGGCTTTACGCAGTTGTAACGCAGTTATAATACTAACCTTCACAAATTCAAAATATTCCTTACACGAGCTTGATTCCGATCGCTCAGTTCGTATGGCAGCTATATGCTATAGTGGTCCGATATCGGCAAGCATCTTGGGGAGAAAAGGACGTGTATAAAATGTCAGATCGATATCTCAGAAACTGAGAGACTAGCTTGCGTATATACAAACAGGCAGACGGACCCGGAAATTCTGTATACAGGGGCTCACAAATGTTCTGGGCTTACGTTTTACGCACAAAGATGCCCTTATTAAATGTTGGATCTTTTACAAGGTTATGCGAAAGGGTATGTAGCGACTCCAAACAAACTTGGATAGAAATGCCTCACGTTAGAGACACAATTTGTGTAAAGTTATAATTTTACTTATTTTTGCAAAATGGAGAAAACTGAAGAAATTTAAAATAGTTTTTTATCGAACGTAGACGAGATTGTTTCAAATTCCGAGAACCAAGTTAACCGTTACGACACTAGGCTTTACTATTTTCATTTGCTTAATTTCATCAAAAACTAATGCAAGTTTAACTTGCTACTTACCGGTCCAAAAAGGGTTATATCACCGAAACAACTGCCCTTTCCCAGATAAAATCCGGGTGGATTCCGGTATCATAGAACCGGATGTCATGCGAATTGACTAATGTGAGATGTAAAAGGGTTTCTTAATATCTTGATTTTTGCGTGTAGATGAACTAATGTCACCCGAGATCGCACATCCAACAAGAACTATCATAGCTTGGAACGTTTAATTTTCGTTGCGCACTCTTCACAGGACCAGTCTCTGTCATTTAAAGCTGAGCGTACTATTTGTCTTCTTTTTACCTTTGTAGAGTTCTTCATCTAACTTCATCTGTTAGTTCTCGCACTATCTTGAATAAATCTGTGAAACAGTAAAGGTTTGTAGAGATATTCATATATCTACATCCGAAAAATCGGAATGGTCTCCAAAAGACATAATATTTCAATTCAATTGTATTATTATTCGTAATTAAGATTAGCCTTATCGA